CGTTGTTTTAGAGGGTTGAGACTTCGCGGCGGTACGAAGCCTTCAGCATCTGCATCTGCAACACCTGTCGAAGTAACAGTGGATCCGATTACAGGAAGGCCTTGCAAAAGCGATCTCTCAGCAGTAAATGTAACCCAGGCGGTAGAGGGATCGCCACCTAACTGGAAGTCTGTTCGAGTACTCGTCAAGGGCCAGAGCTAGTAACGTACACGCTCGGGCCACTCCGCTATAACGTGCTGTGAATGAGGTTGGTTATGAAGAGAACGGGTGAAAAAGGATCGGAGCTATCTCCAAGGAATCATTACCGTGCACTATACCAGTTATCACGATTGGCAGCTTTTTGGTAGGACGTAATTTTGCAAGGCGCGGTTGATACCTCACTGCATCGACGCGGAGGTGACGATGCCTAACTATGCGCCCACAACACCGCCGGTGGTTACGAAGCGTGCAGTCTCAAGTGGGATTGCCTGATCATTCCTTCGCTATGTCAAATTCATTTGCAGAACCTCGGGGACGCGGCAACCTTATTCTCTTACCTTTGCAAAGTTTTTACACCACCCAGTATGAGTGACTGGGCCTCACCCCATATCACTTGAGAAGAACCAATACATGAAAATCTTTGCATTTCGCATTTTGAGTCTTTACTCGGAAGACACCAGCTTCAATCCATTTCCCGATGATCAGGAGACCCCCCCTCCCCTCTGCTCTAGCATTGCACCCCAAGGGGGGCTGACACGTTTCTCCTGCTTTTCACCCTCGCGCTTAGCATCCTGACTAGGTCGTCGGAGTTGGGGGCCACAGCCATACGGGTATTGCCAGAATTGATGTCCTCGCGAACACCGAAGTCCCCTCCAGCACGCCCAAAAGCAAGCGAATCGCTCTTCCAGGAGCACTCTGCCTTCATACCTGCGACAGTTCCCGCAGGAGTTGTCCCTTTCGGATCCCCCGACGATCGACTTGCAGCTAAAGAAAGGTGCCATCCCAGGGGCGCTCAGAGAGCCGGTGTTCAGGGCAAGCGTCTCGCTCGACTCGCAAGGGACTGTATTGTGTCGACCGAAAATCTGAACAAAGAAACCGTTGGTATGCTGGGCATCACCAATGAACCAGTCGCAAGGATCACCGTCTTCAGCGTTCAGAGCGAAAGGCAAGACGCCCTTGGTCGCCTTGATGATTCGGTCCATAACTCTTAGCTTCTAAGGTTTCGTGCCACGAGCGGCGAAGAGCTTCTGCGCGCCTGGAATCATCCAGACGACGTAGCGACCTTTGGCGGCGTCGCCCATATACCCGATCGACATGAGTTTTGCAGCCTGCCAGCAGGGAAGGTGTCAGCGTGTGTCCAAATCCAACTGGGCTCGCATTGATCAGACAGTACCTCAAGATGATCAGAACGTCGAACCATGTGCACGACCTCTTCGCAGAAAGGCAAGACGATCACTACCCATACTACGACACCTACGACACCTACGACACCACTTCCGGTCCACACCTCCTCAACCTCATACGTATGCGGTATAAGCACGGGTGCCTCGGCGGTGATGAGGTCGCTCCCGGCCTTCTGACAGCCACTCTCTGCCTCCCCGGTCCTCTCCTCTACGCACCCTCACAGATCATCCGAATTATCGACGGACGCGCCGCGCTCTACCCCCAATTTGTTACCGGAGCAAAGCGTGCGGCAGCTACGCTAATGAGATGGCACATAGGCTCACCAGTACATCGGGTTCTCTTTCTCATCATCAATGAGAGCGGTATCCTCCTGATCCTCGACTCATCGCCTCAGATATCGGGCGCGGTAGCTGCTAAATGGGTACGGCAACTTAACCGGTCTGGAAGGAGAATCAGATCAGGAGAATCGACAGCTGCTACCGAGTCCCCCTCGGCAACCAAACCAGTGCTTAGGAATGCGGGTACTGGGCAATCGACATGGCTCGCAGGATCTGCCAAGATCACACCGGTCTTTGTGAGGTCGTTTCTCTTCCCAATCGCACCATAACACACGAGGAGATGGTTGCTGGGCTCCAAATGGTCCGGAACGCTATCAACATCAACCTTAGGTTGTTCCCCAGATACAGGGCTACGAAAGCACCCAGAGGACTGCGCGAAACACCACGTCAACAATACGACCGAGATAATCAACTGGGTGCACTCTGAGAACTCTGGTCCTGATCAATCAATCCCTTTAACCGAGATTATCCCATAGCGAGAGACTTCAGCTCCGCCCAATCCGGCCAAGAAGGGTAAGAAAGTCGAGGATAAGAAGGTTGAGACGAAGAGGTTCCTCAGAAGCGCGGGGAATCCTCGGAGCTTAGATCTTTTGGGCCAGTTGATTCAATGAGGTCGTTATCATTGGATCCAGACGAGAAGGTATATGATCCTCGCCCCCTTCCCACGTTGTGAGCGCTCGGGAGCTTAAGAATCGGCACGAAGGAAAACGCCCGCGCAAGATAGACTCTACAGAGCCTTAAGAGGATCAGCGAAGTCATGGACTGGCACGAAGAGGTTCCGCCTATGGCCGTCCGCGGTTTGAGCAATCCCTCCAGGATAATACGATCCTCGGTTCCTCTCATGCCGCCTCCCCCAGTGGCAAGTCGTGGGGATCGTCTTCACTAGCGAACTGAGCAGAAACCTGCGAATAAGGCAAGAGCTAGAGCCATTAAGCAGAAGATGAGGGAGAGGAGAGGACAGCGCAAGTCATGAGTGTAGGAGAAGTGCTCGGGGCCTCCCACTTCGCCCCAGCGGTCGAGGATGACAGTGCGGTGTGACGGTGGCTAGATCGGGTGGTTCCAGGTGCCAGAGTACTTTTTTCCTTATGGGTTGCGGTTGCATTTCCTTGTACATGGACATCATCATCCAGCCAACTTCTGCAGCCCAATCGATTTTCTTCCTATTTCTCGGACCTCGCTTAAAACTGCAGTGATCACTTCATTCTCCACAATTGCACCACCTTAACCGTAATGTTGGTGGTGCTGGCTCCCCCACTGCAATTTGGAGCTGAGTAGGCTGGCTTGGTTAGACTAAGCCAAGACATCTGCAAGGAAATTAGTAAATTTTAGGTCGATTAAAATTGGACAACTGTTTCACAACAACAGTGCGACTGCTTTGCACCGCATTCATCACAACGTGTGCTACCTCACAATACGAACGATACCATCCCCTCTATCCTCCCGAAGCCAGAGGTCTCTGCACAGTTTGTCGATCGCGTAGTAGTTTCAACAAAGCGGGGCATTCATTGCTAACTGAGTGCACTCTTTAAGGTTGAGCTGCAGAGCTGTAAGGAGCAGCGTCCGGAGCTCAAGTGCGACGAGTTGAGACGTTATGCTCTCCCGAACCTCAACCTTGTCTTTCAACACCTGATGGCGAACGAGTATTACGCAGCTGATGTTCGTTCGATCCTCCTACATACATGGCCAGAGCACGCCTACCTCATCACCGGTTTTCTCGTCGCTGGTAACTTAAAATGGACCAGGAAATCGACGATAGAACGAGGCGCCGGTACGAAATTGAAAGTACCGGTGGCTGAGCTGGCCAGCTTAGCAGGTGCCCAGGATCTCAACCTCGGCGCCGGGGCCGGTGCCTCATCCTCAAACAGCCAATATCGAGGCTCGAAAACTGCGGGTAGACTTTTGTACCTAAACATCGCCGCATAGGTCCTCTTCAGCAGTGGTTTCTGGCAGCATTGTGTTCTGCATTGTTAATTGATTTCTTTCTCGCCCATTTTGTTGGTCTGCTTAGGATCAGTGACTCCTTCGAATTTACTTCGCGCATTTCGAGAGAGTGGCAAAGTTGGCTCCCCCACCTCTCACCCGCGGTTACACCGCCGGAACTGGCAAGTAGAGAGATTTTGTTAATCCTGGTTATTTTATTCACTAAGATCGGCAGATTCCTCATCTGCCCCAGGACACTTGATTGTTGTCACTAGTTCCACAATTTTATCACTGCAGTATTAGGTGAGTGGATGTTCGAGCTGGTTAGCCTTGGCTTGTCTCGTTCATCAGTTAGAAGCTAGACCAAGGCATAAAGCTCTGTGTTATGTCTAACGTCTGTGCAATGTGTAAAAGGTGCAACAGCTCTATAAAACTAGATCTTTTGCAAGGACTAGAGACAGATAACCAACTAACCACGCCTTGAGTGTCTTGATCTAGAGTGTCTTCACACTAAACAAGTCGAGCAGGCGGGATTTCCTATCGAGAAGCATGTTCCACGCGGTATTGCGTTCCAATGCGTAGAGAAGGTCAAGACGTGGCTAGAACAGGTCTAGGGCCAAACTATTATATAAATACAACTTCTACTTCTAATGAAAATAGTAAGGTCAGTTCTTTTGTCGCAAGCTGACTCGCCGATGATTTGAACGCGGAGGCTCTATACATATAAAAGCCCCGTAACTCTGAGTCCCGTTGCTGGGCTACGCAGCCGTTGACCTTTTTGGGCCATTGGATCGACTTTATAGGTCTTGATATCGTGGTCAGTGACACTTCGATGCCGAATTTATCGTAAAAGAACTTTATCATTTCGACTCAGTATATAGAGGGTTTTTTTCGCCAGCTCCTCGCGGAGCGCAGCTCGCATGAAAGGGTCAATCTTGCTGCGGCGGCCAACACGGGTCGGGGGCGACACCGCAGTTCCGAAACATCCAAGTTAGGCCCTGATTCTGCGAATGGCGCGGTTATTGCAATCAACATATTTAGCTATTACGATATAGTCCACTCCACGACCTAGCAAAGCCTCGATTTGCTCATGCTTCCATACGGGGAGTTGCGAAACCATAACAAGACGGTCGCAGATTCTCCACGTCGACTTCACCGATGCTGAAAACCGGTACCTGTGGATGCTCGCACGCAAGCGCTATAGACGCTGACGCTTAGCGACGGGAGGGCACGGCCCGATACGCGATCTTCGACATCTTCTCAAGAAAGAATCGGATCGCTTGTTGCAGGACGGTATCTTAAAAGACGTCCGCGAGAGGTTCGCCGAATATGACGACCCCCCTACTAACCTACTGGCACGTACAACAACGGACGTGCAAAACTACATGCGCGACCTAATTCATCGACGGTATAATACTCTCACTCGGTGCCTTCGTCTCGAGCCAGCTCGAGACAGCACGACACAAAAGCCGCCCCGAAAGACACCGCACTTGCTGTTCGCGCGCGAGATAGCAGGCAGACGTGGCTTCGGTGCTTTACGACGGTACAATGACTTCCACACATCGTTTAGGAACGAGGTCGAGGACTGCCTCGAGCCGAGGATGGGGTCCATAAACTGTGCGGGCGATGTCGTTACTATCTCGTGGCTGTCAAACAACGAGGTCATCTGCGGCGTAACGACGCACTCTGACAGTCGAAACCAGCAGTACAACAAGCCTGGCCGCGTCGACTGCGTGTAGTGGCCCATGCGCGGAGGCTACAAAACCTTACGATTCTGAGCATTTTGAGCCTAAAATCAATCAATTCCGGCTTTATTTCACCCGGTTGTGGTCGATGCAAGTTGCTCTTTCGTTAGCTGCACAGATCCAATGTGGCCATAACTAGCTGTAGCTATTCGCGCTTTTCGTCACAGTGGAAGTCCCGTACCCGTGCCACGCCCCACGCGCCTTTGGCCGTGCGTCCTCGACTTCTCGACGTGCCAGAAAAGAGTGGGACATGGCACGGGGCACTCGAATGTGGGGCTCACGACGCGCTCTTCTCCCGTTATAATTTTTCTTCGCATACCCCGAATGATTCGGGGTTACGATAGAACCGGCTGCTGCTCGGCCTAGAGACAGTTGCAGTATTCCTCCTGAAGGCGACGGTCTTGAAATTTTGTAGAGATGTAGCTGAGGCTCGCCTCCTTAACTCGACTTAGGAGAGCTAGATCGTGAACCGCTTGAAGCCGAGACCCGCAGTGGGGTATAAACCTCAAGTCTAGCAGGTTAACCTTAAATCAACGACAATGCTTTGCAAAAGTCTTCGCTTAGTACCTCGTCGTCGCTAGTTGCCAACTCACCCACACCTCACATCCCTGCCAACAGCACATACCTTGAGCACCACGCCGACGTCGATTTCTCTATCTTTACGACCGCTGTCGATGCGACAGTAAGCTAACAAGCTCATTGAACGTAAGTCCACTGCTTCATCGTCTCCGGTGCGCCCTTCCTCGTCGTCTGCTTCTCTATCCAGAACCAGCAGGGCTCGATTGCGTTGAGATCTGGTGAGTTGCTGGGCCATAGCATTTTGGCCACATCCCACAGCTTGTAGGTCTCCTCTTGGAACAAATGGCGATGGCAAGGAGCGCCGTCCTCTTGGACGATTGTGCCTGGCCTCCAGAGCTGACACCTCTTCGCAAACGGCTGCAACTTCTCAAGCAGAATTTTCTGACGGTATCGCTACTAGTCTACCCCATTGCCGTTGCGGCGTGCTAACATCCCAGTCTTCTGGCTCCATCTCCAAGTTGGCTTCCGACCTCCAAAGCGTGTCGCCAGCTTGCACCTCCTGATGCTATTGCGGAGCTCCCGCTTGTCTCGATACTTCGGCTCCAACTCTGCGTTTAGGCTGTTGGTCTCCGCTGTCGCTGCCGCCCTCTCTGCCTTGTTCTCTGGCCGCTATATATGACAGGGCCCTTTCTGGTCGTAAGAGAAACACCCCTAAAACATGAGCTCCGAGTACCCCTTCTATCGCGATCGAATGTAGGACTTGATAATCCGCCCTGTGGGCTTTCTCCAGATCTTGTAGCTGCCTCGACGGTGGCTTAAGACTACCGAGGACTCGTCGGAGAAAATGACATTCTTAAAGTCGATATCGCGGTGTCCGGGGGCCCAGGCTAACCTCTTCGCTTTTATCGCTTTAGTTATCCTAGGATTACTCGTCGGCTTCGTTTTGCGGTACTGGGTACGGCGGAGAACCCGCCAGACTGTCGTTGTCGATATATCTATTCCTTCTGCGTTGAGCTCGTTTGAAATCATCGAGCACGCCTCCTCGCGACCGTACATGTTAGGGCGTACCGAAGGAGAGCGCAGGTTGCGCGTGCGGCGACGCCGAGTTTGACGTGTGTGGCTATGCTGACGGTGTTGTTGATGTTGGTGGTGTTGGCGGTGGCAGGGAGCTCTGCAGGAGCAGAGTGTCCTCCGAGTTCATTGACGAGTGTCGAGACCTGGCAGATTTCGACTGGACCCATGGACCCGAGGGCACTGCAGTCCCGGTGATTAAGAAACTGTGGCAAGCACTGTACGTCCTCCTGCCGGGCGCCATTCGGCAGCCTGATAAACATGTCCATCGCCTGCTGTCCAACACGGCCCGCAAATCCGTCTGGTTACAGGAGGCTTCCGAGGACGGGGCGCGCACTCTGCGACAAGAGAGCCTCGGCAGACCTCGCACTTTGGTACAAGGGATAACACACGAAGCAAGCAATGCTCGACAAAGGGGGCTCTGCTTTCCAGTATCTCGGGGTACTGTGATGCGTAAGCGAGAGAGGAGGCAAGGAGACTGTCCTATCCGTTCGAATATATCAACCCAGGTACCAGTGATGAGCATGGTTCCCCTCCGACTTCCTGTATCCAGCCTGTCCGAGCACGAAGAGCGATGGTTCGCCGCTAGCCTCTGTTTGTCCATACCTGCCCCGGTGCAGCGTCGTCGAAGGCCTGCGGCTTCATGGTCTCGACTGTGCGGGACCGGGAGTTCCTGAATCGATAGGTCATCTCGTCTAGGTTGTGAGTTCCGAGCGCGGCCTCGTGCTCGCTAATGACATGCTGGACGAGGTGGGCGAGGCTCAGACGGACAGGAGCCAGCGTCAGCTCAGCCTCGCGATGCTCAAGGCTGGGCCCCAAGATTGCCCTTCTGAGGACGCGCTTCTAGGTGCTCACAACGTTGTCAATGAATGCCGCCTTGCACCAGAACTGGCCGATAAGGCAGGAGATCTTACAGATCTCCACCGAACCCAGGACTATTAGGATACTGCCGTTCTGGCGATCGAAAAGCTGTACTAGGCGCTGTAGGCCTTCAGACTCAACGCTTTTCGGACCCCGAACAGACACGTCGTCTGCCTTTTGTCTAATACTACCCCCGAATCCGTCCGGGTAGAAGGTAAAGACATTCGACATCAGTCCGCACCTGGGTGTTCCTGAGTTCCTAGCCTCGCGAGATGACACCTGTAGCGGCTATGTGCATACCCTGAGACTGATCCATCTTTTGCGGAGCTACTGCGCTAGAACAAGTCATTCCTCCGGAATATAATCCGTTAGAATAACGTTAATACTAATTTAGTAATTTAGTAATACTAATCCAAACCCTGGTGGTGATACTGCCGGACTCTCGAGGAGCCGGCAGCAATGGCCGAAGGTTGGCACCACTCATGGGTAGAGCGAGGTCGTGGCTGGCAGGCAGGCCTGAGGCTTGCGACGCTGCAGGAGAGGCGTGGGAGAATGGGCGGGCGGGCAGGTGGGGGACTGGGTTGGCTAGTGCTTAGTGCCGCCGAGTTGCAATGCCACGGAGGAGCAGAGGCCAGGGGGATCCGAGGGGGATCAAGAGGGAGAGAGGCAAGGCAAGGCGGGCAGAGAAAGAAGTTGGAGGAGGGCGGCGTTGGTGGAGGTCTGGCCAGGGACGAGAGTCGAGAGAGTGATCCCGAATTGCTGATGCGGCTCTCGCGGCCCTGGTGAGACGGGGCATTGCGTGTGGATGATATGAGACCTCGACGGGCTCAACACGCCGGTGGCCATTGAGATGGCGGCCTGCGGTGGCTGCTGGCATTACCACACAGAAGGGCAGCTGCTGCTGGGGGTGATGGGTTCCCCCACTTCTCCAGAGCCGTCTGACTGGGTAAGTCTCCATAGCTGCACTGCCGTTAGGTAGAATCTACTCGACATCGTTCTGTTTCAAGAAACTTACAATGCGACATAGGTGTAGCGGCATCATTCTCCGAAGATGACGTTACTTAGCACGTGCTCGGAAGATTGAAGGTGAGCACAAACTGTCCACCCTCGGCCAGTATGTTCAGGACTGCATTAGAGAGCTCCCACTGCTCAAGGACATGCCCAGCCTGGGCCTTGTTGTTCCGTCGGGGTGTGATCGCACGACCGCCAGGATGGCGCCCAGGTGCTCGCTTCTTGATAGTCACCCTGTTCGAGTCCCGGGCTTGTGTTTTGCAGCCTTTGGAAGCCCTGAAGGATACCCGCCGATTCGGGAGCTGGGTTGTTTGGCTTGAAGGAAGAGCGGGACTGCGCCGAGCCACCGACAGACTTGATCGGATCGGACCGCCAGGCACCTCAACTGCGGAACCTGGCGCTGTGTGTGGTTTATGAGCCGCGTTCTTCCGAGCAGATGACTCGGCATGGGCTACGCATCGAGCGCTTGTGGGAGATCCGTGATTGAACCGTCGAGGAAAGCTTCGCGCGAACGGCTTGCCGTTGTCGGAACAGTTGAGCGGAGACCAGTCCTCGGTGTGCTCGATAGAGGCTGCTCACGTTCGCTGTTTACGGCTCTGCCCTGGCCATTGCATCCACTGGTTTCTGCAGCTCCCTTTGGCTCATCGTATCGATACAGCCACCTGAAGGATGCCGGCCACTTCTCCGTATCGCTCACCCTCTCACCTATGGTAGGTGCCTTTGGGAGGTTATGGCACGGGTGACTGTTCCCCAGCCAGTAGACATCTTGAGAGAGGACTTGGATTGATACATTATCCGGCTCACGGCGCTACACGTGTCATACCTAATGTCTGATAGGCTGGATTGAAAAATGCCAAGGTAGTAATCGTGCCACACCAGCGCTTCAGAACGCAAGAGTATTGGCTAGCTTCCTGAAACCCCTGCGACCGAGAAACGGTTGCGAAGACCTGCGCCCCGACGTTAGTAATGATTTTCCGTTAACGGACCGTTACACATGGTTCGAGCTGCATCATTTCCAAGCTGCGAAAAGCCCTGCAATCGACTACCCCAAACCACGAGCAGGACGTTTAGGCAGGAGGGCGTCCTGTGCGCGCACCCGGGGCGCAAGTTCCACGACCATCGTGGTGGGATCTTCTGTGATAGCCAGGGAAAGTTCCTGGAGACGCACAGCTTCAGGAACGTGGGTGACCTCAAGGACCTGATCAGTGTGGCGTCCGATATCGTGGACCTCATCATCGACATGCTGCAGGCCAACGTTGAGAATCCGCCCGCCGCTGGCGCGCCGCAGCCCTCGGGCAGGCCGTCGGAGTTGCATTTCAAGGACCGGTGCTCCGACCCGGCGTTCGAGCAGCCAGCCCGAGGCATCGTCAACAGCCTCATGGCCACCGGGCTGGTTGGCATGGTCTCATACAAGCCTCTCTCGCTCCTAAACGCCCGTCTGGGTCGCTATCCGTCTGCCCGGAGCTCTGACATGGAGATCGAGGTCAACTCAGCTATTGGCGCGCTGGATGTGGACGTCTCCGACTACCTCGACGCTGCGAACGAGAAGGCCAAAAACGACAAAGCCAGGATATCCAAGGAATTCACAGCCTCGGGGCGCCAGCAAGCCGAGACGAAAATCGACGCCGCCATCCACCCCTTCGTCTGCGAGGGCATGCTCGCCGAGCTCTTCAAGCACTACCAGTGGCGCATGCTGCTCCTCGCGACTCCTCGTCGCGCCCTAGCCGGCAAGGACCTCACACCAGCCTCCCAACCAGGTCTCTGGTCCCAGCTCGTCAGGGTCCCGCGCCACCGGCCCATCATCACGACGCCGTTCACCGCGCTCGAGAACTTCATGACCACCAGCCTCGTAGACCGCTTCCACCCGCCGAGCTTCCGGTACAAGGACAACCCGCTGTACCTCGAGCAGGTGATCTGCGGGCACTACGCCGGCGCGGGGATCGCGCTGCCCAGGCTCGAGTATCTGCACGGCCCGAAGCTGCTGGTCATGAGGCACGCGAAGCCGAAAGCTTGCGGAGCGGAGAAGGAAAAGTAGCAGCGGCAGGAGGACTCGCACGACGCGAACCCAAAGTCGTTCAAACTCTTTGACCTCAAGGGGTACGAGAGCCCGCTGTGGACAAAGTGCATGTTGTACGGGCACACCACGAACATCGGATCCTTTGTCCCGACATTTCAGCTCGTCGAGTGGAACCAGTGGAAGGCCGTGCTCGGGCAGGATGTCGTCCTGGTGCCGCTCGAGTATACCGGTGAGGGCAGGGGCGGGGAGTGGCAGAAGAGGATCCGCCTGCGGTGCGTGGTGCTGTCCAACTTCGCCGGTGGCACTCGTGCCTTCTCCAAGGATCAGGAGGGAGGGGTGAGTGTCGAGAATGTGGGGAGAGCTGTGTTCGTCGGTGTGGTTGACATAGAGGGGGAGGGGAGGGACGATGCTGTTGATATCGAGGCGGCCAACTTGGACCTAGTTGGTGATGTGATTATTTACTAAGTATAACGAGGAAGTCCGGGGTCTGGGCGACTAGCCACGGGCCACTTGATGATATCAGCTTGGTAGATCGCGCAGTATGTAAGGGCCCTCCTGAAATAAATCTTCGAGTTTCTTGCCGGCTCTCTACACGGATCCGTCCATCTTGACGACCTCCGCTCTACGCCGTCCATTTCTAGACCCTTTCAGCTCGAACCGGCGGAACCTCACAACCTCCCATCTGGCCTTCCAGAACTCTGGAACCAAGATAACGCGGACCGTGTAGAAATCCTACGATGGCGAGTCTGTAGAGGTAATCCTGAGTAGAGACAACTACGGCTAATATAAGGCACTACTACAATGGTCGTACCCGCATGACTCGGCCAATTCGGCGAGCCTCTGAACCCCTCAACCTTTGAACCCCTGAACCTCTGAACCCCTGAACCTCTGAACCTCTTGAATAAAGGAAGATGTTCAGGCGATCCAGCAACCAGTATCGTCGAGGTCTTCTCTTTGAGGCTTCTGGGTATGGGGAGTGCACACGCACGTCTGGAGATGTGCCCAGCTTAGCACAAGTATACAGACAACGTGATTGTGCCCATAATCAAGTCCATCCATGTCCAGTTGGCATTTCACATCCCCGCTCGACATACTTAATAGCCACCAGCACCAGCACCAATACGCAGACCCAGGTATTCGAAGCGACAGAGGACCACGCGGTTTTGACGTCATGAGGCGAGCATAGCGACTGAAACCGCTCGATGACATCAATTTTCTTTGTAAGTCGACAGTCGCAGAGTCTGGGAAGTCTATCCGTGCTCGCTTTGACCACGTGAGAACGATTTCATCATGGCCATGCATGTGGCCATGACAGACTACATGTCAGGCACGGTCCCCGGCATCCCTCATTGTCCCGATGCAGACCCACCTGGCGGTGTCTACTTTATTCCAAGATTGTCTCAGACTAGGCACGAATCCGGACAATCTTAAGCGGCTTTCAAATCTAGCCGGTGTGAGACATGTGGTTCTGGGCCACTCTCCCACACTATTAAAGTTGGGGCCTGCCCATTCTGAGGCTCCTTTCCCCCATGGGCTGACTCGAACAAGCTCATCATGATAGCTTCTTGGTCCCACGAATGGCCTCATCTGGTCGGACATAGTTCAGCCATCCGGACCAACCCGTATGTTTAGGATTCGACCACGACATTGAATTGCGGCACCACGGTAGCCACGGTAAGATCATGCGGGTTTTAGTCGATGCGCATGGTGCAGTCGTGCTTCCGAAGCCCGCTCTTTAACACTGTTCCATTGTCCGCATTTCGCAGGATGCGTCTCCGTCTCGTCTGATTGGCACGTCACGGCATCGTCAGCAAGATTGATTTAAGCCACGATTTTGTGGCCCTCATATAAAGGTCCTGCATTTCGCATCGACGCCATCGTCCTGCTCCCTTGCGACCTTGTCTCAGCTACGTGTCCGCGTCCCTGTGTTTGCCAAGACTTCAGCGCACACCACTGGCACGGAGGACGAGCACCATACGTCGAACGGGATCCGGGGTCGCCAGCCTGGGAAGATCCAAGCATTAACATCATCGCCACCACGACACAAAGCTGTCTCGAGGTCACGGAGTCAGTACGCAGACGAAGCATTCCGACTGCACGCCACAACCACGTCGGCCATGGACTCTACACGGCTGCTGCACATGGGCGAGGAGCTCGTCTACGACCTCTTCGGCGTCGTCTTCTTCGCCTTCTTCGCCGTCACCATCGTCGCGTTCCGCAAGCCCTTGCCGAGCTACTGCGCGGCCTCATTCGTCGTCTCCAGCGTGCTCATGACGAGCGTCTTCAACCTCGGCTACATGCTCCCGCACTTGGTCCGGTCGATATGCCGCCTCGAGCGGGCCCTCCGCGTCGTCATCCCGCCGGGTACCGATGAGCAGCAGCCAGGCAGGCACGCTGCGCTGTCGTCCATGTCCAAGAGTCTAGTCAACATGCGCGGGCTCCCCGGTCCTGCGTCACTGACCATGCGGTCCACCGTAATCAGCCCGCCCATCGTGAACCCCGTTGCGGGTGGTGCTGGCGCGATGGCTGCCGGCGCCAGGGAGGAGGCTGCGTCGCGCCTGTCGTCGAGCGGCGTGTCGGGATGCCTGGCCATCATGCTGCTCGTGTGCGCGTGCAGCGCCCTGCTCGTGGCCGTGTCAGTCGGCATGGTCCTCGAGGCGAACGTCATTGAGCAGGAGCGCGAGCGGCAGATCGCCCTGACGAGCAAAGAAGCCCGCGAGTTCAGCAGCCACGACAACGACAACAACAGCGCCGAGGCAGAAACAGCAGCAGCGGCACCGCTGCTCCCTCAAAGCCATCGCCAACGGCAACAGCTCGTGTGCTGCTGCCAGGGCCAAGGTCCCTGCGGAAGGGGCGGCGTCCCACAGCAGCCGCCATCGGCTGTCCTTCGCGCTGCGGTTTGGATAAACAACTATGTCGGCATCGACGAGCTGCGTTACACGGGCGTGTACACCGCACTGGAGTGCGACACGCTGCCCCGGATCGCGGGCAGTTTCTTCTTCGCCGTGCCGAGGGCTTGCACGAGACTATTCCTCGGCCCGTCGAGGATGCCTTCGAGGAGAGGTCTAGACGAGGAGTTCGGAGGACAACGGTGATGCTTTATAGCTTGCGAGGCGGGAGGGCTTTATCAAACAATACAGCCTCAGCGCAGGGGCTTGAGCTTTTGTTCATCATACTACTCAGCGTCATTCAGCATGAGGACACTGACGTTTAGGGTTTTATTTCTGACGCCATCGAGGGTTGGCAGTAGGACGTGCAGACTTGATACACAACACTAAATAGGACAAAGAAAGCATTATTGTGCAAAGTATCCCAAGCAAGACTGATCTCAGGTGATCCGCCAAGCCCGGCGATGAGACACACCCGAGTACACACCACCACGGAGGCGGAGATTCTGTCGGAGATGATGCCTACTAGCAATCACGCGCAGTTGGCCACGCCAGTGACATTCCGAGAAGCTCGGAGAGACGCTACTGCTGGCAACACATCAGCCTGCAAGAGTCGTTTGTGGTCACCATCGAACCCGCCACACGAGCATCGCAATGCAGACACAGGGGTCGGTTCATCTGAATTGGTCGAGCTAACGTACCAGATCTGAATCGGGAAAGTTCTTCGTACCTGCGTCGAGGGGCCTATGCTTTCCATGGGTGTCAAGGCACGACTCGTGCCTGGCACATGACGCCATCGAGTGCTGTTCATGCAGACTCTCCAGGCTCGCCATTGTGTTGGGATCCCAAGGTGGATCGAGCATCGGACATGCAGGGCTGCGGAAGTACCCGCCCACGATGCCTTGGGGTGGGCCGAGGCTCCTCTTGTGTTGAGGTTTGCCCCTTGCCACAACTCCATCCTGACACTCGCAATTGGGATCGTGAATTCTTCCCGAACATCCCGTCTGCTTTGCAACCTCCTAACAGATCAACCACGTTGGGCAACAGCTTGTCCGAAATTGCATCTAAGAGAAATGCGCACTCAAGCAGAACGCCCGCCACAGCTGTCATAATGACGGCCGCATCGACTTCCTCCTGCCGAAAGAAGCTCACGATGGTGTCCCCAGCTGCTTGAACCGTACTGTCGGATCCATACGCTCCGCAGAGGCTTCCTCGAATAAATCCTGCACTCATCGAGACGGTCACGTCAAGTTACCCCTGCCGCTCGAAATGCCGTTAAGGTCCGGTATTTTCTCCGACAACACCCTTTCCCAGCACCATTTTCTCCGCACTTTCCGTCTGTGGCAGGGGTCATCACAGAGATCAGATTTGAAAACGGCAGGTTCCACGTACGCCACCTCGTCCCAAACCAGTTCTATTGCCGGCGGCGTCCACCTCGGTCCCCATGCCAAGTCTCCAGCAACAGCCTGGCGGCCCAACAATCTGGGGTAATAACGGGGCAGGCAGGGCCCGAGGAGGTCAGGATCCCTGACACGTGTGGTCCAAGATTGCAAGTCGTCACGAGGCCTGGCAAAGACGACATATCCTGACCCATCCAGAGAAAGTCGCCGCGAGCAGAGCTGGACGCGTGATCCTTGCGGGTTTACGCAGGCGCTTCTCATAGCTCTCTGCAGTAGACGTTCGGCGTCCGCTCATGCGGACCCTGGGGGACTGAGCTCACCCCTGCCGATCAGAACCAGATGACGATCTCGAGATCGGCATTTGTATAAATACTCCGTACGAATATGACTGTCACCAGGATATATTCGGGGGGCAGTACTCGTTCTCACTTGATCCAATACTGCTGCTTAACTACGTGCAAAACGACGATCGTTCTCCATAACATACCCCAGAATAGCAACCCTAGTAATCTAGGAAGTCTAATCTGAATCTAGGGTCGTATTAGAATCATAAGCAGTAGGCAGTATTATATTTTCGGAACTCGCTATCATACTCAAACAACATCTACTCGGGTAAAATCGACTCGTCTTTCTTGCAACTTTGTACGTTCTCTTTTCTTAGGGAAAGTCGTTTCTTATTTCCGGCTATGAGTGTTACCACCGCGGCGGGCATATGAGCGAGATTATTCCGGAATATCACAACCTTGTTTGAGCACGCTGTACATGACGTAATCCTCGCCATCGATCACGATGATGGTTCCTCGGCTGACAAGATCTCCAGGAAAGAGGCCGTTCTGACAAAGGCTATACTTGTGAGCCCCGCGCGTCTCAGCGTCGTCCCCCTCGAGGTCGTGACTCCTAGCGGAATCCAGAACACCATCGCGCTTCAAGTGCTCTTGGCTCTCAAGATCTGACTGGCCCGCCTCCTTCTCGCGCGGAGGATGGCTCGAGGGCCGCTGTGCCAGCTGCTGAGCCAGCTGTGCCGTTTGACGAGTTTGTCGAGCGTCTGAGCACATAGTCTCACTTTCAAGCTGCGGCAGTATCTTGACCACCTCGGCCCTGCCCTTACTGGCTGCTTGCGCGTTTCTGTCGCTGACGCTTTCGGCTGTGGGACGGTCCAGATCGCCCTGCCAATGTCTAGCCGGATCCGCGGCCCTCTCGTTATCGCCTACTTTGAGCGATCCTGTCGTGATATGATCCTCGCCTGGGACGCTGCTCTCCGCAGCGCGCTGACGTGTAGAGTACTGTGGATGTGGCTTCTTGCGAGACGATATGTTGTAGCTTTCATCGTTATTCGCATACGCACGGCGGCGCGAGTGACAAGTGTTAACCACTATTTCATCAAGTACCCCTGGGCCTCCATTCCAGCTGGATCTTTCATCCGGCCAAGATGTTGGAACCTGTGATGGAGAGGTGTTGTCCGTTTTGTCGCTGTGGATTCACTGTTAGCAAAAGGTCGTACACGTTTGGTCTCGACGTGATCGCTGATATGAACGAGATGATGATGAAATGATGCGCAACGACTTGAGAGAATCGATGGTTGTCCCATGCTTATGCTGTTGAAGGGCGTGTCGTTCGGCTACTATAATAGGTCGCGGGTATTGAGCCAATACACGAGAGCCGGTCGTCTTTGACTGCAGCCTGGATTGCCAGAACCCTTGATACGCTTGTCGGCGCGCCTTTTAATTCGATTGCCCAAAACAATTTGGTGAAGCGGATCTTTGCAGCGCTAGATTATATATCGTGTTGAACTTGTCGGTAAGCTGAGAGACTGCTGACGAAGTAGTTGAATGATATAGAAACTTGGAAGATGCGAGTGAAGGTGCTAAGAGGTCGAAACGACAGGGCGATGAAACCCATCCGTCTCGAGGACTTGCCTACAGCTTGTGGCCCGCAGGCACAGGGTGTATGTAATAGGTGGACGATTGGAATCGCTTGATCTAGTAGTCCAGTAGCCCAGTGTGGACGAGAAGCTTGCATGCCAGGCACTTGCGGTAAGTCTGCCCCCCGTCTCGCGACCAGAGTAGCTCGCGACCACCAAGTCCCCACCAAAATCGCTAAAACTGCTCTTTTTAGGACCCCTGTTACCTCCCCTATTTTATAAGATATAAGCTTATAAGTATAACGTAGTCCACATGTGAACGGGTCACACGGGTGAACGGGTCATTTCTTATCGCCGCTTATATAGGGATTTTTAAACCCTTATAACTTCTTTATCTCAAGAGATATAGATACGTAGTTAAGTCTAACGTAATCCACGGGCGAGTGGCCCATACGGGCGAGTGGCCCACCCCAACCAAGTCTTGCAGGTATCACCCTCGATAACACAGCCCCAACGCCTTAAATCAATTAAGCTCAATCGCTATCTTCTAGTTCAGACCCAAGAGTAACTATGTAACAAGTTCTTGCGTTATGACCGGGTTTCCCGCAGACGCTACAGCACCGCTGCTTTGGTGCAGATCGACTTTCACCCCCAGAGTTTTCCTGCATTTCCTGTACTACCTGAGCATTTACCTCTCTCTGGGTTACGAGATCTTGTCCCTCGCCTAGAGTCATGCTTTGGCCTTTCCTGAGACGTGTTTTTTTCGCCCTACGACGCTTGCTAAGTATTGCATTCTCGTCTTCAAGGGCTTTCATCCTTGCCTCCATTAAGGTAAACTTATGCATAATCCCCTTTGCCCCCTTCGTGAACTGCTCAACTGCTTCAATAATTGACGTTGGAGAGCTTCCCTGGTGACGAGAGATTCGACCTTTAATAAAATCAGACTGTGAACGGGCTTCTATAGCTGTAGTAGGCGTTCGGGAAGTCCATAGCTCGGGTGACCTCCGAGGCGTCCCTGGGGGCGTTGGCGTCTTGAACTTTACATCGAGCTTGGATAAGACTGCTTCTGGGTCATAGGGTACAAGTCCTGCCCCTCTGAAGCCTCCCTGGATGTTTTTTTCCGTCATTGTCTGTTGGAATGCTGCTAAAAACGAGGGGAGGAAGTCCTCCTTGCTGATATGCGTTGTACCCGCCTTCATCTTGAGCTCGATTTGCCGACCGTATGCTTTCTTCAGCGGACCAAAACACCCAACATCGAGAGGCTGGAGTATATGAGACGAGTGAGGAGGCATACAGAGCGTAATAATCTTGCTGTCCTTGCAGTAGAGCTCGAATTCGACCGAGTGGTGACTTTCGTGGCCGTCGAGGACGAGGAGGCGATAATCGCCTTTTGTTCGCAACTTTGTATGCTGATCGAAATGCCGAATCCAATCTAGACCAATTTCATTTGTAGTCCAGCCGTTTAGGGACGTTATAATTCTCCAGTCGCGAGGAATCGCGTCGTCTTGGTACCAGGTCGAGAGGTGATATTTGCCGGCAAATACTACGAACGGCGGGACGTAAAATCCGGTCGCGCCGACGCCCTGGATGACCGTAACCCATTCCCGATTACCCGGTTGCTTCATCTTAACGTTCGAACGTCTTTGCGCGTTTGTAACGACCATCCCGGTCGCGATAACGCCCATCTGAAAGCCTGTCTCGTCGAAGTTGTAGATATCGGAGTCCGCGACACCGTATTTCGCAACTACGTTCCGCACAAGCCGAAACCACGCGTTTATCGCGTCGGGATCCTCGCACTGGGCTCTCTTGTAGTCGTACTTGCGAAAGAAACGCGTCTGGAGCTCTGGTCGTCGTTTAACAAAGGTTGAGGCCCAGTCGATTCCGACACCTGGCCTGTCGCGCTTCGCGAGTAGTTGATTCGCCATTTCTCTAACCTCACTTAGCCGAGGAGGATATGCTCGCGCATCCAAGTCGAGAATGTATTCGACAATCTTCTCCTCTTCCAGCTTGGTTAATTTTGTAGAATTCGGAGGGCTTTCGCGTCGGGCAGGTACTCCCTTCTCTCGGCGTCGTAGGGTTGTTCGGGGGACGTTGAACATCTCGGCAGCGCGTCGGGTGCTTAAGTTTGGGTCGTTTTCCATTGCTTGGATAGCAAGGAACAATTGACTCTCTTTAGAAGGCGTCTCCATCTTTCGTGGTGGAATAAACGCGTGAAGAAGAGTTGGATTCGGTATAGTGAATGAAAGTGGGCCACTCGCCCGTATGGGCCACTCGCCCGTGGATTACGTTACCTATAAACGATAAGAATAATCTATCTAAATCTAAAATATTTAATTCTTAAAATAACTGTATTATCCTTAAACTGAGAATCTTACGTAGCTCGTTCTCCACTTTTCCTGTTTTACTACCTAAACTAGTATATTGTCACGATCCGATCTCCGGGGTCAACCGTCTGATCGGGCGCTGGGGGTTTATGTTCTGAATAAGGCAGGTAGCGGCCTCAAGCAATACTGACTCCGTGCTGTCGTGTCTCGTGGTGGTTGTCGTTCGTGTCTCTTGCGAGATATCACACTTGGATCAATTGAGTGACTAGGTCAAGTGAGGAGTAAGAGTGATACTTAGATTGCTCGCTGAAGTACAAAGGTAATGACTGTCTACAAGGAAATCCTTCTGGCTCTATATATCCTTTGTCCTTCATCGTGAACTGTGTTGCCGTGCCTTGGAACTGTCAGTTCTACCGGCGCACTGCGCAGTTCCATAGTTCTTGGCACAGTTCCACGGTCTTGGCGTGGTCCCGTCCTGGATGACTCATCATGGTGGCTTATGTAATGTTTCTTGGACCCGCGTGCATGACCTGCCCTTGTCCCTGGCCCGATCTTGCGACCTGTTGGTCGGGTCGTCACAGCTGAGTTATAGCCGAGTGACAAGGTAGCGATTTTAGCGATTTTGGTGGGGTTTGGGGTGGTCGCGAAGTACCCTGGTCGCGAGACGGGGGGCAGACTTACATTGTGGCATGAAGAACAAGCTCCGAATTTTGATCGGTACGCTCCTTCTGAGAGAGCTCGCCTGAAATGGCTTCCTGAGGGTTGTCTTCCCGGGTTAGCTCATCATTAATAGTACTTTCAGCAAGTTCTTCCCAGCAGGCTGCCTTTGCTGTATCTTGATTTCCAGGTAAAGCACGAGGAATGTCATAGTCTAGGTAATAAAAGTAGTGCATCATCATGGCGACAGCTTGTGGATCATCTTCAGGGAGATCGACCTCGCCTTCTCGTCCCTCCTAGGTGGAATTAGTGAGAATCCCAAGTTACGACTCTACAACTCACCTTGAACGGGCCATCACAAGCTGTAGCGAAGAAACTCGACCGAGGGCACACGATGGCCTTATGGACTCGGTAGAGTTTATCACCAGAGCGAATACTAAAGTCCGAGTATCTCCCACTTGTATGAAGCCTAGAGAATTTGTTTAGTACTAGTATCAACTGATGCGCCAGTCTCGAGTGACCTAGGGGTGTACCTACTCTTGCATCGAGTGAATTAGCTCTTTCATCGGTCCGCTCTTTCGGTCCGAGTGCAGCATAAGCTTACTAGCAGAGGTAACACTGTGCGCAGCTGTACTTTGGTTATTCGTGAGAGGAAGAGGAACAAGGTCGGGAAAAGCTTTATGCGCAATAAATTCGTTCGTGAATATCCTCCGTTCCAGCAAAGAGCGTAAGATATTGACTATTTCTGGGGGCTGATACCTGCTAGCGTAGCGCCTAACAAGCTCTCGGATTTTTTTTGGTTTCCGTAGTTGATAATTGTTTTCGCTCTTAATCACGGGTTTCCACGATAGATAAGCTTTCTCCAGAACAGCTGTAGAGTACAACATTTCCGTTGAATGTGCACACTCTGTAGATAGTGTGGTATGGGTGGGATTCGAAAGAGAGCTTAAAGCGGTGAACCCGGGTTTTCGAAAAGTCTGGGCCAGCTGACAACAGGTGTCACCGCCAACTTTGTCTTAGCAGGGAGACAGTTAGCCGTGAGACGGATGTGGCAAAGTGGGCTCGAGTGGGTCAGCCATGCTCTAATGGACAGGCAGTTGGCCGCATACTGGCGACCATCTCGTTCTTGAGCCAGTGACGAGCGCACGATAACCACCCGCCTGATTTCCGCGCCCTAGCAAGCAGGGCGTATCACCAAGCATCTTTTTGTTGCACAACGCATCATGTCAACGAAGGTATTCTACTACGGCGCAGGCACAAAGTTTCCTGACCTCAACCTTCGCTCAGCCGAACCGCCAGCGACTGTCCTTATCAATGCTTAGAACAGTACAACACCGCCGTGACTCCTGTACTCCAGGCGTACTGCTGTTATGATGATGCTCGGGTAAAGAGATTGGTGGAAGGAGAAGGATAGGTGGACAGATGGCGTGAGACACACGAAGTGGAACTTCTGTTGATCCAGCTAAATATAGCCACCGCCCCAGCGCTTAAGACGTTGAACGATTGGCTGCATATCTGCCCCCTGCTTGATCACCGGTCTTCGTTACGGAGGGCCGAAACGTGATATGTCCGTTTTTGGACCACAATCCGGTATCTCACCGTTTTTGGTTGGTTCAAGGGCCGCCATTTTTGGAGGCCCGAGCCGCCGAAATTGATACCCTTTGAACCAAGCAGAGGACACTTATGCAAGAGCTCATCGCCCCGGAGGTTGTCGAATTCTACTCGAAGGAAGGGGTCTTCTTAGGCGATAAGGGTTCTTTGGAGGCTGTCATACGCGACGTGACAGGTATTCCTGCCGGAGCCCTACGGAATACACCATTATTCCACTTTACGACTTCAGAACGCGAGGCGTGGGTGCGCAATCAGGAAACAAAGTATGAGGAAGACATGGCATACTCGCTGCTTGGAATATTTGGCGTTCATATGCTACTCAACTATGGCGAGGGTCGCGAACAAGCACAGAGAAGGTTGCGAGAAGAGGTCCAGAAATCTGTGAAAGGTAGGACACTACTCAGCGATAAAAGATGTACCTTGGCTGACATACTTAGGCACCTACGACAACAACTTTTTGATCAGCTTCAGCCTATCTGGCGTTCCCGAGACTCCAAATTTCGTAGCAAGAGATGGAGAAGTAGCGGAGATGCGAAGAATGCTGTGCTCGGATGGAAGCCGTTGCACAGTTGTCCTCCATGGTCTCGGCGGCATTGGCAAGACACAGCTCGCTGCAACGTATATCAAACGATACCGGGACGAGCACTCAGCAATCTTCTGGGTCAATATCAAGGACAAAGCATCCATCCAACAGAGCTTCGCTAGGATCGCAACGCAGATCCTGGAACAGAATCCCAACATCGACAGCCTCAAGGGACTGAACCAGCAGCAAGACCATACCAAAATCATTCAGGCCGTCAAAGCGTGGCTCAGCTTGCCAGGCAATACCAGATGGCTCATTGTGTACGACAATTACGACGACCCAAAGCTTCCCGGGCGGGTGACCGATACAGCGGTTGACATACACCAGTTTCTTCCCACGGCATTTCAGGGTTCAATCATTGTCACAACACGGCTGTCGCAAGTCGAAATAGGGCATCAAATTCGAATTGAGAAACTCAAGTCCGACTGCGAGAGTTTGCAGATACTGTCAAAGGCGTCAGGCCGAAATGGCTTACAAGATGGTAAGGATCTCCAGGCAGTTAATTATCGGTCACTAATAGTCCTTCAGATTGTGATGCGAAAGAACTTGTGCGAGAACTGGATGGGCTTCCTCTTGCTCTTGCTACGGCTGCAGCATATCTGAAGCGTGTCCCAATCAGCTTCCGAGACTACCTTCGCCACTATCGGGAATCTTGGGCAAAACTCAAGGGCATTCTGCATCTTGGTTCTTATGCAGACCGCACCTTATGTTCAAAATGGCAGCTGTCATATGAACATGTGCAGGCACAGAACCCACTTGCGGCTCATCTGCTCCGGTGGTGGGCCTACTTCAACAATGAAGACATATGCTATGATCTTTTCCGAGCCAGCAGCGAAGACGGCCCGGCGTGGATGGGGCAGCTTTCAGAAGAGCTCAACTTCAACGATGCAATGGGCGTACTCCATGACTACGGCCTAGTGGAACCTACAACCATGTTCCAGGAGCCACAAGGGTACAGCATACACAGTTGTCTACATTCCTGGACTATTCATATATTGAATGAGGAGTGGGACAGCTGCTTGAACAAGCTTGCAGTGGAAAGTGTGGCATCACAGGTTCCTTCACGAGAGGAAGCCGAGTATTGGCTTCTTCAGAAGAGACTAATATCACATGCGATCCGGTCTTGTTCAACAGTACAAGAGAGCAATTGTCCTACAGATCGGGCTTTTCATTCTCTAGGTAATCTTTACGCTGACCAGGGGAAGCTGGGCGAGGCCGAGAAGATGTATCTGCGGGCGCTGCATGGAAGGGAGAGAGCTGTAGGACTTGAGGACGTCACAACATACCGGCCGGCCATCAACACCCTTGAGAACCTAGGATCTCTCCTTTTCGGATCAGGGCCGTTTGATTCAAGCGCGGCAATACTACCAACGTGGTTACGACGGCCTTGAGCGACTCCTCGGGCCATCGCATCAGGCTGTTGAGTCAGCGCGACACATTCTCCAGCTTACAAAAAGCGCGATTGATGATGGGATGTGCTCGAGCGGTGGCCAATACGTGACAGATCCAGCACAACCCGGACCGTCGAAGAAGAGGCGACGAGACGTTTTATAGAGGGTACTAGGTCTCCACGCAAGGTAGAAAGCCAAGAGTGGGGCAGTCTTGAAGCACACCTGTTCTTTATGTGAGTTGAATGTGACAAGAGAAAGCCGCTTATGGGGTCGCTGTGGCCTTGTCGTTGAAGAGCCATTTTTGGCTGTACATATTCGCCATTGAGTACGCACGGTCTCCGCCACAATGCGCCACACTTCTATAGCCCGTGCGGATAGAAGTTAATTGCGGAGAAGCGGACACACTTTGTGGCCCTTACTGTATGTGAAGTGAACGCGTCTTCCTTTGAAGCCTCCCTTGCCGAAACACAAGACAGTGCATTGTGCAAGAGCTAATGTGCTACCTTTCAGTCACGGCTGGGGACTTCGTATTTTACTCCGCACACAGTTTGTGGAAGCACTATACAATAGCCTCCCTGAGGAAGCCAAGTCAAAGGTCCTCCTTGGGGAACAGGTTGAGAGTGTACATATGGATGAAGTCGGTGTTCAGGTGACCTATCAGGACGGTCATGTGGAAGAAGGAGCCATCCTCATTGGTGCCGATGGCGTTCGGAGCCGTACGCGCTTGTGTATGGAGGCCCTGCAACAACATAAATCACCTCACGATCTGGATGAGAAATACCAAAACCCGTATCGCTCTACCTACAGGGTTCTCGTCAGCGAAGTTGAGACGTTGTCAAATGCCCCTTTACATATCAAATGTGACGGTGTCAATTACGGCGCTGCAACACAATACTTGCACGGAAACAAGGGTTCTTGCTTCGCCCTCTACGAGAAGCTGGCGAAACCGTCTCCGAGACACCACCGCTACACAGAAGATGATAAGCGTGAGATGCTCAAGCGCTGGAGCCATCTGATGGTCATGCCAAACTACTCGGTTCGTGATTTGAAGTTGACGGGCGACAATATTGGGCTTTACGACTGCGAAGAGGGCTTGATCCCTAACTGGTACCACGGTCGTATTGTGCTAGTGGGTGATGCGGTAAGGAAGCTTGACCCCCGCACGGGCATGGGATACAATGAGGGGTTGATCGACCTTGTAGTGCTGATCAACGGGATTCGAGATATGTTCGAAGTCCTTTCTCCGCGACAGGCGTGCTCAACCATTGCTTCACTTGAGAAGACCTTTCACGATTATGAAAAGACGAGGACCAAGAATATGAGCATGGTAATGAGGATATCGAAAACATTCGCTCGGGTTTCGGCATGGCTTTCGTGGAAAGACATGGTTATGGCCAGGTACTTGCAGCCATATTTGAGACTGACTGATCTCTGTGTGGCGTTTATTCTTGGTCCTATGATAAGCGCGTCGCCCCTACTGGACGGGACAAGAGAAATTGGGCAGATAAGCAACTAAACCTATAACAAGCGTCTTCTGGTTGTAAGAGAAATCAAATACTGTCCAGACCAAAACTCGTGTCAACTTTCTCTTATGTAGTTCATTTCCAGGAAGGCCAGTTTGGCATAATATAGTATCGTATCGATAGGCCCATTGCAATCCACCAGTATACTACTATCTACACGCCAGTATCTATAAATCATAACGATATGGTAGATGATAACTACGAGTTATCGTGTCGCGTGATAGCTATAGGGCACTTATAGGGTAATAATAGGGTTGTAGGAGGAAGGAACAGAACGAACTTCGAACGCCGCAATGAGGCCGAGCTATAGCTAGGTGCTGCACCGACTGCCCAGTTGCCGGACCGTTCAGTTCTATAGTAATAGAAACACTTCAGACCTACCAAGCCCGGATATAGTAGAGGCAATTGCTACACCGGCGTGAACGAATGGCTACACCGGCGTCACTCTTACACAGGCGTCACTTCCATGGCCTCTGATTCGCTCTTTTTTCCTTCGACCCACAGGTACATCGGCGCAAAGGCGGTGAAGCCAGCTCCATTAACAAGTCCCTCAGCTTCGGTAAAGAACCAATAGGGTCAACCCAGGTCTAAATCGAGCTCATAACAAGATCTGCAGAACAAGACCAATTCAAGTATGCTCTAGATGCCAGCTCTCCATATCGCTATCCTCTCACTACTATCGAGGGAAGTACCTCCTCGTCGCTGTCAAGCAGCTCCCACTGACTCCTTCGCCTACGAATGCTAGGCTGCGTCTGCCGCCCGCTGGCACGTACTCCTGTAGTTCTTCCAGCTCCAAGAACAACTGACCGGCTGCGCGTTTGGCGCTGGGATGGGGTACTGGCCTGGTTACTAGCCTGGCTGCTGGTCTGTTGGCTCACTTCCAGTGGAAGCCTAGCTAGCGTTGACTTGTTGAGACTTCCCGGTGGTCGACCACGTCTGCGCCGTGGTGACTTGCTTGCTGGCTTGTTGGCTGGCTGGCTACTGGGCTGGCTGCTTGCCCCGATGGCTAGCCGCGCTGGAACAACCTGCGTGGTGTTCTTAGGTCTGCCCCGGAGAGCAGTGGCGATCTTAGGGTCGAGGATTCGTCGGTATGGATCTCGAGAGGATGGCTCTCGTAGGCGCCACCGAGGATGGACCTCCCATTTGGTGAAAGGCGTGCCACTTCCCAGCTTTGAGTAGATTGTGTGACAGCAGGGGATTCCAAGTTCGGTCGAAACCGAGCATTCCTCGCCGCAATCCCCGAGAGGGTCAGGAAACGGATTCTTTCCTGTCGGCATTGCTTTCCTTGCCAGCCGATATTGTTTCGTGATCAGTCCGAGACCCTTCGAAGAGAGCGCTATTCGGAGTTCGCCAAGATACTCCGAGCTGGACCCCATATACTCTCGTGCGGTAAGTACCTCATCCGCTGCGCAGGCATCGTTGAAATCCCGCTCTTGGTCCTTCATCATGTCCTGCATAGCCTCAAAAAGGCGATAAAGATTGCTCATACCATTCAGAAGATAGCTCTTGATGTTGTTGTTGCTTGCTTCTGTACCAGAGGTGACACGGACCCCGAAATTGCGATACTTCCGGATGAAACAGCGGGCCCATTGGGCCCTGACGGGCATGTAGGTTCCATGGAGATACCGCAGGATAGCTCGCTGGTCATCAAACTCCTTACAGAGGTTTGCCCATGCCTCCTCGTGGGCCTCCTCCGTCTCAGCAAATAAGACGAGCTTCCACATGATGAGAACTCCTCGATAGTTATGAGGGATAGCCTCGGTTGTTGGCGTGTGAACCAACTCTCGGTCTTGAGGGGTTAGTTGAGCTTGTGGCTGCGGGGTAGTTGCCTCTCCGTCGCTGGTACCAGGGCTACTTCTGCTGCTGCTGCGGGCGTTAACCCACCTCTGCTTTGACTTAAGCAGGATGTTCGAATTGATGTGGTGGATGCACAGCTGCTGCTGTACATCGGGGAACTGGTCGTTCAATGCGGCTTTCATCTGGTCGTCGAAATCGGTGACGATCACATCCGGTCGCCGGATGGAGTGCTGCTCTGCTAGCTGTCGAATGCTCTCGGAGAGGAATTGGAACCCTTCTCTCCTCTCGTTATCTATCAGACCGAAGGCAGCGTTATAGACAGAGCCAAGGCATGTCTGTCCCGTTGCTTGGAATAAGGGAAGCTTGAAGCGGTTCGTGTTATATGTGTTGTCGAAGCTGATCACCTCGGGGAACCGCTTCCACATCTGGAGGCAGTAAGGAAATGTCCAGACAAGGCCAACAAGACGGTTTGGCTCATCGTCTCCCCACTTAACGAGATAGGGAACCTTCATCTCGTCAAGCAGCTTGATCAGTGCTGCAGTAGGAGTATGGCCATCCAGCTTGTCTCAGTTGATACGAGATCTGGCGTTATAGATGTCTTTCCGTGTAAAGGATGATTCGGGATGCTGCTCCTGGACGATAGCACGTACGTCACGGGCCCGAATTCCGACCCGACGGCTTGTCGATTCGACCGTTGTCCTGATAGGCTCGGTGAGTCTCCGATGGGAGGGATGAGCAGATGGCCCGATGCTGCGGCCGTGGTTATGCTGGCTGTGTTCGGGCTTCGAGTGTTGTCGTAAGAGCCACTTCCCCTCTTCTAACGCCTCGGCAACAACCATCCATTTACATCCACACTTTCGAGACTTCCGTCGTCGAAGTCCTGCGCCTTGACTAGGGGCTGGTTCTCCGAATCGATCGCATTGAAAAGTGTACCGGATCCTCCGACCCTTATATGAATGTGCATTTCGTCGAACAATACCGAAGCCATTAGCCTTCGCGAAAGTATTCACCCACTCGAACAGGACTTCGGCTGACGGCGCTGGGTCGCCTGGGATAGCTGGGTTCGGGATCCCGTCAGGGACAGGCGATGACGAGAGGTCGGGCAAGGGCGGTGAAGCTATAGTCGGAGAGTGCCTGTCTCGGGGAGGCGAGTAGGGCGGAGGTGATTCGAGTGCATCTGAACTAAGCGGCGAGTAACCCCATCTCTCACGCCATTGGCGGACTTGTTCGTATGACCGGACGAGCTCGAGGGTTAGTCTCCGGTGTGTCCCAATCACCTCGCGTACTAGCTTGAGAACAGAATGAAACTCGGCCTTGGTGGGAGAGGGATGCTCTTGTACTGATTGCGGTGGAGAGGAGCGAGGTAGTTGGTCCGTTTCTGGGCCTGGTATAGGGATTCTAACTCGTTGGGACCGTCTTCCTTGGGATGGGAAATCGTTCGAAAGGTGAATATCTTGATCGAATCGTAGCCCCCATGGTGGCTCGTTCAGCCCGCGCGATCCACGGGGCCGTGGCGCGGTCGTCAACGTCTCTGGATATGAGGCGAAAAGATTATAGAGTGCTTCATCGTCGCCGACGCCGTAGTGTCGGCCAATGCTCGTGCCTGTGCTATTAGAGGAAGGTGGTCTTGAACTATCAGATTGGTCCTGCCGCTGTCGTTTTCGAGGCCAGAATTGATAGCTTCGTCGTCGTTGGTTGCTTAGGGAGCTAGATGGAGACTCGGGCTGGGACATGACGGCCTCGATCGCGATAGGGAGTGTCGCACGCACGGTGAGAAGATGAGTAAAAGAGTACTTGATTCGACTATGAAAGAAGGAAAGAAGGGTCTCATTTCGGGCAGAAAGTAAAGACCTGCTTTGCGATGCCGATTCTAGATGAGGCTGTTGGCGTGATCTGATACAGCCTGTGTTCGAGTTTTGGTCTCAGCAGGGGTCCAACACACCTCACTCCAGCCCTGTGACCTTAACAAATACCGTATCTTTCGCGAAAATCATTCTAAGTAGGCTCGACATGCGGCAAAGACGTAATTAGTGTAGTAGCTAGCTGGTGAAGAGCTTCCATAAGGCGCGTCGATCGTTGCGGTGGAGAGGTAAGCCCGAGGTACAACGGGCGCTGTTGGCAGAATCTAAATGCACTAACAAAAAGGGATGGACCAATCAAAGGCCGTAAAAGCGACGCCTGTATAAGAGTGACGCCGGTGTAGCCATTCGTTCACGCCGGTGTAGCAATTGCCTATTATTATGTCTCGGACAGCCAGATCTCCATTCCCGGACCGTGTAGGAACTTGGTTCTCTGGCAGACATCTGCTCGATTGTGACATCTCGCAGGACGGAATTCGGCACGGGTATGTCCGCCCCTCGAAGCCGCCCAAGGTCTTTCCTGAACCCTTCTTCTGCAGATATTGTCGCAGAGAGTGACGTGCTAGCCGATGACAGCGCAATGGCCTTGGAAACTGCCTCTTGCATGCCAGCTCGAAAGCATATCAGGACGTCGGCAGTCTTCCAGTCGTGTCCGCCACTTTCCTCCCAGCAGGGACACGCGTAGGTGCGACTTATTGACAAGCCGTGCGTGGAGCTGGAGGCTTTGCCGACAACTCGATACTCATGCACCGACTCGAGTGGGCGGACTATCGCTTGAAAGAATTTCGTTTCAAGAAGTATGTCGCCAGCCATAGTGCCCGGGCAGGCAAGGGCAACGATGCCGTTGGGACCATATATCTTGGAGGGCTCGTGGCCGTCGAAGAGTGCTCTGAAACTGGCTCCTGAAATTTCGTCCTTGGTCAAGCTGGCTTGTAGTGCCTGCGTGTAAAGTCGTCCGTCGTCATGCAACTGGATGGCAGAAACATTGAGGATATTCGTGAACCAGTCACGAGTTTCGTCTTGAGCTGCCGTGGCTGAGTGACGACCACTTGCGATGTCTTTGTCCGATAGTTCCAAAGCTTCGATGAGGGGTCCCAAGCTGTCTATGAAGGGGAAATGGCCGTCATGGATCAAGTTTAGTGCCAGCTGAAGCTTCGATAAGCTGTAATCCGGAACAGGACGCCGGAATCCATGAGTCTCCCAATCAATCAGTCTTAGCATCCCATATATCCGAGCTCTTGGATCTTCACAGAGCAGCTTTGGTGAGATCTGACCAATGAATGTGAAGTCTTTGTGTTTGCCTTCGAGTGGATGGGTATAAATGTTGAGTTTCGCCAAGCTGCTCACAGTATCATCGGCCCAGAGCAACAGCTGATCATAAAGGCGAAGCCGATTCCAAGGCAACGAGGAACACTCACACAGGACCACTGTGCGACCTCGACCTTCGTAGAGCTCTTGCACAATCCATACTCGGTGAAAGGACGGCCTAAGGCAAAACTCATCCAGCCTTTTGCGGAGCTCTGATTGCTTAGCTGCATTGCATGACTGCCAAAAGGTGGGAATCAGCAACTCCGGTCTGTCCAGCTCATATGATATCGAGAGATCACCGAAGTTCTTCTCAATATCATCAATGACAGCCTCAATGTAATCGCTGACCACGTCGCTCTTACCGATACAGGCAAGCACTGTGGCAGCCCGCGCGTAGACGTCGCCCATGATTCCGACCTGAACGCTTTTCTCGTGCAGATTGTCCTAATCGATACACACCGAATCGATCCATATCGGTATAGAGCTCTGATATTGACGTGCTTGTTGAAGAGCATAGTGGCAGTTTTGGCGCACAGGAAAGCGTAGACCGTCAATGAAGATGTCGCTCTGAGGTTGCTCCAGTCCCCATGTATACGATATCGCGTTGAACTCTAAACCTTCGCTAAGCGCGCAGCTGGAGATTGTGCATTTGATTTCGTCATCAAAGCCTCCAGGCTCAACCTTTAGCAGTCGGATCTGCTTGCTGGCGTCAACTAGAGGCGGCCGGGACGCATTCTGGACGTCCTGTGAATCTGTGTGGCCTGCTGCTTCCATTTTGTCGGCGTGTCACATCAACAGCGACAAACGATTCTCAAGCCTGGTTGAACGTGTCTGGTCTCCGTGGTTGGCAGCTTGTCGAGGCGAGACCTCAGATGAGACAATAGGGAAAGGGAAGAGGCATACCGGGAGAAAAAAAGCGAGAGTGATTCCAGAGAAAGGACCATGGGGCAGGGGCTTACAGTACACAGCCACTATGCAGCCACGATGGAAGCATGCACATCTCTTTGGTTGGAGGAGACCGCCGCAACGTAGCCCGGAATGAATTAGCAGCAAGTAACGATCGTCCCTTCATCAGAAAACCAACAATGCTGGTGTGTCATTCTTGTCAGCCTTGACCTAGCAGGGGTTCGGAGCCAGACGTGGCCATGTTGCAGGCTCCAAGCGCCTGACCCCACCTTTGGGCTCAAAAAGTGGACTGTGCCCCGCTAACGGCGACGCTAATGTATTCCTATCAGGTTCACGCTACACAGTTGGGGCCCAGAATAATCCGGCCCAACCACCCCACCGACGCGAACGCGTCGCGCCACCTGCAAACCCTCCCTTCTTCAAACCCACCATTTCGAGCGCATTTTGAGGTTATCATGGATGATTTTGTTGCTGGAGTGTGCGCCGATAGGCTGCCGAAGCAGGATTTCACTCCTAAGAAGAAAGCAGCTATCTGCGCCGCCCATTTCGCAGGTGTAACGCACCGCCGCATTGCCGAGCTTACGCGGGCCTCCAAGTTAACAATCACCCACATTATCTCGGACTGGAAAAACAACGGCAACCTAGCTAAATCGCCTCGGAATGGTCGCAATGGATCACAAATGCCCAGAGAAGGCGCGTACTAACTATCGTCAAACGCAAGCGAAAAGCGACGTGGCTAGAGATTATACAAGCCATGCCCTTCTAGATCTCCAAGATATCCATAAAGCGCATCATTCACGAAGCTAAGCTACGTAAGTGGAAAGCTTAGAAGAGGATTCCGCTATCTAAAGAAGCATGAAGAGCTAGGCTTGCATTTGCAAAAGAGTGGCTACCAAAAGTCGACGAATTGTAGGAGGTACGTGTAAGTGAAGTTGGTGGGATTATGCTGACTTGATCTAGGTGATTTTCACGGATGAGTCGTCCTGCCAGAACTCCACGAACGTACCCGCGCAATGGGTATTCCGCTTCCTAAGCGAGAAATGGGACGACCAGTTCGTTAACCTTAAATCGCACGTTAAGGCGAACCTATCTATTATGGTTTGGGGTGCCATATACCTGAAGAACGGCGTGGGGTGCCGGTTAGAGTTGGTAATAATGTAGCGCGAACCGCAGCCAGATCCTAACAAGCGAAAGAAGGGCTATACGGCCTGGAGTTATTAGAAGGCATTGCGCGATGGCTTCATCCCAATATACGACGATTGGTAGGTATTTCAGCAGGATAATGCAGCAATTCATTGCGCAGAGAGTACTATGGATTGGCTCGCCGTTAGGGGCATTGCGGTACTACTAGACTGGCTAGCACACTCGCCAGATCTCAACCCAATTGAGCACATTTGGGCCTCAATGAAGCGCTAGCTAGTAAAACTATTTCTAAATATTATGGCCCTCAAAAGAAACGACGGTGATACCTCCTAATTTGAGGAGTGTTTGAAGTCGGCGTGGGCAGCAGTGCCGGAACGGCTGATCACAAAGGTCCTCACTACAATGGACCGTCGCCTTCGCGCAGTGGCCCGTGCGCGCGGAGGATACACCAAATATTGAAGCCGCCATCGCCAGCTTCAAAATGCAATAATTACTACTCGATTCTGACCTCATTTGACGGTTCTGTGGCCTTTTGTCGTGTGCAAGTACTGTGCAGCCAATTTTGGTGGGGGGGCTTGGGCCGGATTAATTTGGACCTGATCAGTAGGCTAGTGTTCCTCAACGTATCTTTACCAAGAGAGACTCTGAGAAAACTGCTTCAGCTTCCGTTTTGAATTCTCGAGATTTCAGCCACGCGGGCTATATGAGAAACGCGGCCAATATTTTGGCCCTTGATGCCATGCCGACATCCGAGAGACCGCAGTCAACACGAGCGACATGGAGGGACGATGCCATGGGTACAATGACAGAGTTCTCTGACTCTGAGAGTATGGCCGACCATGAGGAAAGCCTTTCCACGAAGCTTGCAGCCAAAATCAGGGCCGATCTTGGTCCGGAAGCCCTTGGACTCCAAAGAAAAGCATGGTTGCAGTCCACCTTAAAGGACTTTGCAATCTGCAGTGCGCAGATTACCGCTGGGCAGTTTGGCCGCGACACCATGTACTACGTATATAAAAACGCAGAGTAAGTAATCGCTGCCTCAAGCATGACACTGATTGTGGCTCCCTGAGAATGCCATGGTTGCAAGGTATTCTGCTCTCGGACACGAAGAGATCGGTCCGCGACTTCAGCTATTCGGAAAGAGGCGAGAGTCGGCCCGAGCAGCTCTCATGACCAGGGCGTCATGCACAAGAGGTCTGTGTGCCGGCAGCCCAGGAGGACTGAGATGCAGCCACCAAACGCCTCCTTGAAAAGCTCTGCGAGAGTGTCATCTACCCACATCTTGTCGCGCGACGACAGTCTCCACACGAACAAGCACTTTTCATCGCCTCAGACAATTGCTATCCCGTCATTGCCAGTTCCACAGGCTGGGCTGTTCTTGAACCAATCGACCGAGGAGGCACGCCACGCCACGATTGGTAGCGCCTTGCTGCCAGCATGGTTGGGCGACGGGGCCCATGGGGCGCTAAAAGATCAGCATCCTTGTTCACAGTACAGTATACTTATATCCGAAGCGCTAATTCCACTATTGGGGTTAACAAGACAGGGATGAGACGATCCATGACGGGCAGCTGGAGCTGGGTGAGGGAGTGGGGCGGTGCCCCGAGCTCTTGCGCTGGAGCGACTTGCGCCTGATGAATCCCTGCCAACCTCAATAAGTCAATTGCTGTGCTTTCGCGACCTTGGATTCTAGTGAGCTTCAGAGCTTCAAGAAATATAAGTTAGCGGTAAGAGATATGAGATTTATACGGACCATGTACCACAGTAATCGTTTATTGACAATGACCATGCTCACATGGTACAAGCAATGTCTTTGATCTCCAGTGTAGCTTACACTGTCTGTCTTGTGGCTAGCCTTCATATTCTTCCCGGCATGCTCCTGTGGCCAACCTACGTCTACCGACTAACCACGTCCTTGTCTTTGAACGCTATTCATCCTCAACGGATGTGTTTGATACTAAAGACATCGCTTTCAATCCACCCTCTCAACGCATTTTTAATAGTGGAAGATCTCGCAACTTGTCTTCCCCTATTTTGCTGCTGGCCCCTGGTCCATCCTACTTCAAGACTTGGCTCATTCTTGAACTGTGCGCCTCACCCAGGGCGATAAGAAAATCGATGCCACCGTCGCAGGCTTAACGCCGTCCAATCTGTCCACGTCTGCTTCAACGCGCCGCGCGTCGCAGCGCCCGTCACCGGCATGTGCACATCTTACCTTGCCCAATTGCTCGGCGTTGTACTAATGAGCAGCAGTGCCGATAGGCTATTGAACATTGACCCCCTGGGATAAAAACTGGCATGGGGCGTACCGCCATCCTGAGATGTATTCCACCAGGCTGTCGGGACCGAGTCTTGATCGCACCCAACAGCATCTGACGGCCAGCGCACAGTCGCGTTCGCGTGTGTGCCGCAATAGCTGTTCAGGGCACGGTCGAATGCCTTTGATTACTAGGCTGCGGCTTCCTTAGCGCTTAATTCCCTTTCGCAGCGCTACCGTTCCTGTACGGCCTCGGTGTCTGACTGGAGGTCACCTTCGCCGTCGGCTGGGCTGTCAACAAGCAGGCACATTAGTCATAGATTTCCAGACTATACACGCGAGCATAAGCAGGTCAGGTGGAGTAGTTGGAATCAACTGGGGGTCGCAAGTCACGTTCAAATAATATATAGTTACGGGACACTGTCTAAATTGTCCATAATATCAGCTTCGCGCTTTCGGTGCCGGACAAATGCCTAGCAAAGGACACGACAACGCATCCTGATCTCATTCCCTCCGCTTAAACGTTACCCTCTTGGTACAAAATAGTTTTCCTCATCTAAGTACAGAAGCAACGCAAAGGCGAGCCAATACAGAGTCATATGATAAGCAAATATGCTGTGTGTCCCGAGTAGTTATGATCCGGACGCCCTAGAATATCCGCAGGGCAGTCTCGAGACTTAGCTTCAAGTACAAACTTGGCCCGCTGCAGCCGGGGGAACACAAGCCCGTCCTTGAGCAGGCATTTTGAGCAAGCAAACATAGGCACGTAATGTCGCCGAAGCTTCTATTTCCAGCACGCGCAGAAAGCATCACAAAACTTTCTGGCGACAAACAAAAGTCTTTATTTCTCACCTCGTTCAAGACGAGACATGCTTCCAGGTAATCCGAGAAAAGCAAACAGTCAGCAGCGTAATGACGACTCTACTGGGACATGACCACCCCATCCTTTCCAATGCTGACCCCATATATTTGTCGCTTCCAGTCGCGATACATGTGGCAGACACTACTCTGTGTGATTCGTGCATGCCGTCCATGTAGCCTCTGGATGCAGTGTGCTTTGCACGACCGCGGACCAGTGAGCCTCTTTTAATGCGATCGATCGAAGGGTTTCTTGTACCAGGGCTAGTCAATAACAGATGACGTCCACTTGGCGCCGTTAAACAACTATAATGCTTTCACTGTAATGAAACGATGGACAGTTTATAGAAAGATGGAGCCCACCACAACGCGTGTGATATCTACCCGTTTGTGGTATTCGTCCCAACAAAATTATATACATTCAATGGCCTCCTCGCCAAGGGGTAAGTGACGTTGTGTTATATGTAGGTATACTTGTCCGTGAATGGGATCAACTCTTCGAGACACCCATCGTCAGTGGAACCTATTATTTCCTCTTCCGATACCACATCTTTGTGATTAGGTCGTGGATCATGCCACGATCTGTAATAGGAGACGTAGGTCCATGGTTCGCCGGTACTTGATGCGCACGGGACGTCAAGAATATAGGCAAGCGCCTCTACCCCAGCTTCAAGCTCGTCTACCAGACGATCAATACTGCCCTCGTCGATTGACATTGTTCCATGAGGCCTTGAGACTTTTCTCGTTTCCCATAGCGTACTCCGCGATTGCATCTGTTCGAAATTGAGCATATCCTGTAGCCACCTCAGTTGACCAGCACCTTCTTCTTCGAGCAAGCGCGTCGTAGCTACGGATGAGTCTCGTAGTTGGGTGTGGCATTTTCCCAGAATATCTGCAAGTCTGTGACAAGTCAAGCGATGTGAAGAAAAGGCTGACTCGAGCAGCAGAGATTTAATCTCATCCTCTAGCTTTTGGATTTGTTCCGACATTGTGTGTGGTTTACGGCCTGAAATCTTCTATTCCTTGAGAAATTCTTTCTATATATCTCAGAAACGTAGGGACAAGGTGGTCTACAATTAATGGGGAGATATTGACAGGAGCTTTTCTCGTGTGACTGACGTCTTTGACGGATATGCCATGTCATATGTCTCGCAATCAGGTCACGTAAAAATGGACTGTGCTGACGCTGCAGCTAGTCCCATTCCACTCTGTCCCTCTACTAACAGCAGCTTGAGACGATCTGCCTAAGCTACCGCTGATTGTGAGGTTCCATAAACAACCCATCTACCAAACATCAGTTCCGTATGAAGAGCAGTGCATTTGAAGTCTCTAGTAGTTCAGTGTAAATTATCACAGTCTCTAACCTTGGCGTTCGATGAGTTATCAGGTGCAATCAACGATATGGACTATGCTAGTGGATGCTCTAGTAAACCAAGCCCCCTTCTCCGACCATAAGGTTTCGCGCTAGCTATCGTCCGGGATAACGTGATAGGGCTTTCATAGATATCTAGAGTGCAACATAAGCCAAGCAGACTAGAAGTCGTTGTAAAATTAGATCCCGATTAACGTAATCCACAAGCAAGCGGGTCACACAAGCGACCGGGTCACCCTCCCAGTACTCGTACGACAATATATAAGTCAATTCAACCACAACGCCTCAAATCAATTCAAACTACTCAGAATCCTCTTCTTCAGAGGTAGACTCAACTTTCTGACAGGTACGCGCATTATGGCCGGGCTCCCCGCAGACGCCACAGCGTCGCGCGCGCGTTTCGGGCCTCCTCGTACGACCACTATTCTGACTTGTTTCCGCTATTAACTGCTGCGTCGCATCGATTTGAGCCTTCAAATCCTTTGCCTGATCAATCGTGAGGGACCCTCCTTTCTGTAGCTGCTTTCTTTTCGTACGACGACGGCGGCTGAGGCGGTCGTTTGCATCTCGAAGTTCGGCGATCTCTTGGCGCATAAGGTCCTGCTCGTGTACCATCATTGTAACTCCTTTTCTCAGCTGCTGTAGGCTCTCAATAATAGATGACGGAGAGCTATTCTGGTGTCGTACGATACGATTTTTAAGATACTCCGTCTGCGATTCGGTCTCAATTGGGTTGTTCGGCGTCCTTGAAACCCATGGGGGTGGTAGTCCAGCAGAGGAACCTGGCGGTGTTGGCGTATGAAACTTCATATCTAGCTGCGAAATTACATAGTCCGGGTCGTACGGTACTAGGCCTGTCGCTCGAAAGCCTGCCTGGATGTTTGACTTTGTTATCGTAGCGTCGTACGCCTTATAAAAGGCTGGGAGGAAGTCCTCCTTTGAGATATGGGTAATATGCGCCCGTATAAGACCCTCGATTTCTTTGCCGTACGCCCGTTTTAGAGGTCCAAAACACCCAACGTCAAGAGGCTGGAGCTTATGCGACGAATGAGCAGGCATACAGAGGGTAACAATGTTCTGTTCCTTGCAGTAGAGCTCGAAATCGACGGAATGGTGGCTCTCGTGGCCGTCAAGGATAAGGAGGCGGTGGGTGCCCTTCGCACGACTCTTTGTATGGTAATCGAAGTGTTTTACCCATTCTAGGCCTCTCTCGTTCGTCGTCCAACCGTTTTCTGAAAGCGCGATTACCCAGTTGGGCGGTAGGGGGCTATTCGCGGTCCAGGAGTCGAGGTGGACCTTCCCGGCGAAGATAATGTACGGCGGGATTGAATAGCCGTACGACGCGATACCCTGGATTACTGTAACCCATTCCTGATTCCCTTGTTGTACGGCTCTTGGCCTCCCGCGTCGATCGGAGGTTGTAACGACAGTTTCGGCGGAGATTTTACCCATCGCGAAGCCCGTTTCGTCGAAGTTGTAGATATCGTCATCGTGGATCCCGTATTTCGCGATTATGTTTTGTACGAGCTCAAACCATGCGCGATACGCGTCTGGATCTTCGCAGAGAACTCTCTGATAGTCGATTCTTCGATTAAAACGCGTACGGAGCTCAGGTCGTCGTCGTACGAAGTTTGAGGCCCAGTTCGTTCCGACGCGTGGCGCGTCGCGTACGTGGAGGAGTCGATCCGCCATTTCTCGAACACCACCTAACCGCGGTGGAAACGATCGCGAATCTAGGTCGATTATATACCGTACGACGCTGTCCTCTTCGTACGAGGTCAATTTCTGGTTATATGGTCGGAGATCGCGTTTAGCAGGTCGGCCGTGTTGTCGTCGCTGGAGGGTGGAGAATGATATATTATAGAGTGATGCAGCCTTTCGTACGCTTAATTTTGGGTCAGATTGAAGCGCCTGAAGCGCGAGAATTACGTCGCTTTCAATTGATTGCCGTCCCATAATTATTGGTGGAGGAAAAGGGGAAAGAAGAAGGCCTGTACGAAAGTAGCGGGTGGCTGATTCACTAGCTTGTGTGATTCACTTGCTTGTGGATTACGTTACTTTAAATACAGTTTTCTCTTATACATGGAAAACACGGATCTCTAGAGTCGGAATATGTTAAGTTATTCGCAGTCAAAGAGGTGGTGTTTTGGTGGATTTAGGTGTCGGAATCTAGGGTGTGTCGGAATCCAGGTGCTTTGACTTACATGCCTCCATTTGGAATCTGAAGGTGGCACGGAGGTTGCGAATATGCTAATCTCTCAATTTGTGGAGCACGCTGCCTTACGCCTATGTCTAGTAATCGATAATCATTCTGAGACCACGAGTGGACAGAAGGCGAGGATACTCCACCTATTTATGCGGTCTCTTTAGTTGAAGGAATTAATTGATAGCAAGGTACGCCTTTTGAGGGGGGTGCGTGCCACCTTCAGATTCTATATGGAGCATGCCCCACCTAACTTGAAGCTTAACGCTAGCCGAAAATGGCAGACCCTCCACTAGAAAGGTACTGATCGACTTCTTGACTTTATCAACATCACCGCACCACAACAGCCTTGGACCTGCTGATCACTTTGCTTGGTGAAACTCCGAATCAAAGACTCGATTGATGTCTAATTATTACTATGAGAGGCGATGAAAAGATGATGGTGGGGTGTGATTGACTATGTCTTTACATGCCTCAAGACATCGATGGGTTCGGATCACAGGCTCGTGATCCGACACTGATGAAAACTTATGGTCCAGGTGGATCAAATGGTTTGAAATCGGTCAAACCATGACTTCAAAAAAGGTTTCAGGAAGTGCATGTATGTGGGCGGACTCGAGTCTATGTCAAAGGTGAAGTACCTATATGTTAGCTCGGCACGCAGGGTGGCTCGCGATACAGGGATGGACGTTAGTTATATTTCTCGTTAAGGATTTATGCACATCCCTACGAGATAATGGAGTGCTGTTCAAACGGTTATTGATAAGAAAATTTAAATACACGAAGCTATTTAGAGAATAACCTGACAATAACCCCTAACCAGTCCAAAAAGGAATATAAATCCATAGATCATCTTAGCAACACTGCATTTAATGGACCAATGAAGGCTCTCAGTAAGAGCCATGACCTGTAGCAAGGATATAGAGTCACAACAGGAAAAATTAGAGAGGACTGGTAACGGAGGTCTCGAAGAAGAGACTCGATTCGTGCACGATTGGTCCTATATGTAGTAAACCATCAACTGTATAGGGCCAGTTAGCCTAATCATCCTGTATAAGGTACTGGACCTTGAGTACGCCGTGCGGCGTACTGTTAGGTCTTTTGAGATCATTGGCCGAGCGGTTCCAGAGAGCCGCTCGCGCATCTTCGACGCCATTGAATGCATAAATCTCTCTTAGTATAAACGTTACAGTAGAATATCTGCTCCATTTCGTAACCGTTCAGTAACTCGCTACTGCCATATTGATGTTCCTGCATCACTCAGCGGCTTATCTCATACTGAGATGGTAACATTTTATCATCTACGTTGAGGTCGGGAGGAGATGTGGGATGCCTGAATTTATCAATGCTAGGCGCCGGAGACATTGGTACAGGGTGAACCAATTCCGATCGAGAGCTTGGACATTGTAATATATTCATGTCACTTCATAACGCGATGTTGACATCCATAAACGGCCTTAGAAAGGTATTGAGGCGGGTATTAATGGGACGGCATAGTTATTCAACCATATTCAGAGAAATGAACCTACACCAAGGAAATCCTGACCCCAATTTCCCCGAAGACTATTATGGCGACCTTGCATTCGATGGGATAGTGAAAAATGTTAGGATTATAGAGTTGCGTATAAAACATCCAAGTACGTCACGCAACCACACTTGTCTGTTGAAGTATTTCAGGAGGGGTTTAAGTTAACCTATATAGTGTCAGTTTGTCACCCAGATAAACCGCAAGACCTTGTGACCGTCGAGAGGAACGCCGCGTGCATTAGGGCGTACAACAACCTCAAGGACTTCTTCTGCGACGAAAACAAGAAGGAGAATTACGATAAGAGGGTGTGGAACCGCTATCTATGGGCCCCATTAAAGGGCGACGCGATTAACATTTATACATGTATGAAAATCCTAAACAAGCTGAAGTACAAAGCCAGGACAACTCGGATGCAGTTCACACCTCAGCAGGGGTTCGGGAAAAAGATCTAGCTGCACACATTAAGCAACAGTGGAAAGAAAACGGTAATGTGAAAGCAAGCACCACCAGAGTCAGGCCTACTCAGAAGATTGACCCTGCTACTCTTTGTAAAGAGTACGATGGATTTAAGCCGCTTCTGGTCGAACAAGGCCCGGTGCTCATGCCACCAATTCCACCGCGTCTCCCATCATCCAAAGATCAATCCGACTTCCACGATAAAAAGACATTAGACTCTATTTTGAAAGCGAAAGAACAATATGAACAGGCATACGAAAGATTCCGAGGCGAGATCTCAGCCATTTGTTCTGTGAAAGATAACTTCAACCTTACTATTGCTCGAATTCTAGCAGAAGTTCCCCAGAGCGATCTGAACTACGAAATTTCCTTGATAGACTTTCAGGACCTAAGAAGCAACAATGCAGCATAGGGTAAAGAGGGCAGTAGTGGAATGTCGTAGGGGTTCGTATTATTGCAAAACTGTTCCTTGGTGTTGTGGGTTCTCTGAGCTGGAGCGCGCGCGTTTCGGTCACGATATGGTGTCCTGGTAGCGAACACAGTGAAGCCCCAAGGGTCCCAATATCTGCACGTCCGTGCTGTAGTGCTTGTTGTATAGTTATGCGCGTGTTGCATCTCTATCATATTAAGATCAAATTAGGGCTAAGCCTGCATGGCTCCATTGGTGTCTAGGACCTTTATGATAATTCTGCTACCGAACTAGGAGGCGGGGAACTCTCCTTGGCTGGTAGGTGGATGTCCTTCCCGTAACCAGAGAGACGTTCACTTAAAGTGTCGTTAGGGTTGATACCAATTATTATGCAACAAAGAGCATCTTAAAAAGTCTAGCTGATAGTTCTAGTATCTATGCTTCTTGTCACCTGTGTTCTGCTTTAAAAGGTCAGTCCCCGAAAAGTGCAAGGCGACTCTAGATGAATCGGTGAAGGTTGAGCGGCACCCGTGGGTGTATGGTTCAAAGGAACTACTACTTGAATAACTGCTCTTAATGAGATAGCTTAGAAATGTGTGGTGATACGATTACATGGGTGCGTGGGGATGATTCTTCAAAGCATTTCAGCTGTTTCAAAGTATGGATGCTATCGCGCATATCCTTCAGTAAACTCTATATCTCAATCCAAGATAATGCTCTCTTTTCTATATAGCCCCGCCAACCTAGGGTACTCTTGTGTCAGCATTCAGGCCAGCTAGCTTTGTAGAAACAACCGCCTTGGAATTAGGATGTCTAGGTGTAGTGGGGATTCGCAATAGAACCGACGCAGTCTTCCACGTTCAAGGTCTCGGTGTCCTTGGGATAACAGGCACAACGGGGAAAAAGATCGTTTGATAATCACGACGAGTAGATGATAAGTAGCACTGAATCAATCCACTATGTGAGAAGAACTTTAGAATGCTCACTGCTTGAACTGCTCAAAGCCATTAGCTGTTATTGACAGCCTAGAAACGGTTGAAGGCCGGGGGTATATGATTGTGTATCACTAATCAACCTGTGACAACTGAATTTAAGCAGGGATGCTGACGGGCATCTTTTACAAAGCTTCCTATATCTCCATCTACGACAATGCTTTCTTGTAACTGTAACTCCTCTAGCTTTGGGTACGCTGAGCTGAGCATTCTAGCAAGACAGCTTTGAAGAAACATTCTTTTAAGCCGTAGTCGTTCTAGACATGGCAATGATGTTCCACAGTCAAAAAGCGCAAGAGACGAACGAGGCGAGAGTGTAATACTAAGATCAACCAGGTTGGGGAATCTGGACAGAAAATTCCAATCATCAGCAGAGGCGACCTCTACGGCATCGAAGTTGAGGTTGACAACGTGGCAGAATGCGGTGTGGCTGGACAGAAGAGAGGCTGGCTTTAACCGGCCGTTAAAAGTTAGAGACGAGACATTTTCGTCGATTTCACCCAGGACTGTGTTAGCTAGTGTATCAATCGTACTACCGAACACAGGAGAAATCCATAATTGCCTCTGCAGTGCCCTTAACCGTGGATTTCGTGAATTCTGTCCCCATGGCCGCAAGCATCTGAGGTTCAAGCGCCGTACATTAGGAAGCTGGCCTAGCACTGTCTTTATCAATTCGGATTCCGCAAGGCGATCTTCCTTCCGCAAAATATTCTCATAGCGCCCGAACGCGGCTGAAAGTTCCTCCTCCGAAGGCGGCGCAGAGAGACACCGGTAGCCATCGAGTAGCAGAGAACTATTGTCCCATTGCTGACGCGTATAAGCCGGCCAACGGCCATAGTAGAAGGTTACGGAGTGAGTGAAACTAGTGTCTACAGTCTTTAGAAATTCAGCGAACTCGGATAGGCAGTGGGCTGTACCTAGTACGCAGAAGTGCCCGGCTATTGCTGGATAAGCAAAGTAACCGAGCGTGGAACACGTTAAACGAAACGCTCGAATATCTTCAGTGCACAAGAGGTCGGCGATGCAGCGGATGATGTCCACCGGGAGACGATTCATCGCAGGCGGCGCTTTCAAAGGTATGTGGAGATGTTGTCTTAAAATACTAAATGCAAATACAAGGCGTCGTTGTTCGCTGACCAACTTACATGTTGACATAATAAACATCGTGATAAGGTGAAATCTATTGTCACCGGACACTTGGCCATTCTCTTAGTGTACGTCGAACTAATGTGCTCTATTCATAATGCTGACTGTAAGTACAACTATCATATGATTGGGGGTGTCTGGCATCGGTGTGACTTCTCCTCGAGCGATTTGATCGCCTCGGCCATGTCTATCTCGTCGTCTAGCAACTCGCCGAGCTGTGCAGAACATAGGCAAAGATCAGGAGGCGCAGCTCAAGTCGCAAGCGGCCAAAGATTCCATCGCTGGCTTGGCCTTGACCTTTGGTTCGTCGATTTCGGAGGCAGGTGATGCCAGGGCGTCCATAGCAACGATGGGAACCTTTTCGTCGTGGATGAGCGTTCGACGGAAAGTCAGGTAGATAAGGAGAGATGGAGAGGAAGATGTTATTGAGAAAGAAACGCTTCTCGAGGCAGCAGGTGAAGGCTTTTACATAGACAATGGGCGAGCAAGCCTGGGGTGATTGTTGGCTTAGGCATGTACTTCCACCAGATCGTCTGTGTACGAAACCTAGAGTGAGCGTGCGAAGCAGCCATTTCAGAAAGCCCAGCCGAAGCCGGGACCAACTTCTTCAACCCCATGGCCTCGACGATTTGCGTATGGCCCCATTTTAATACGTCCGTGTTTTATACCTTGAAGATGGCAATCCTCTGAAAAGCCTCGAAGACTTCCAAAAACGCACTGTTGTGAAATCTTGAAACTCGGTCTGATCCCAGATGACAGATTGGCCTGAGCCCCTTGACGAGACTTTCCCCATCTTAATTAATGTGATATATCTTGGAGGAGTACGACATGCTGAAGGTAGAAGATCGTTATCGACGGTATGTGAGCCTTGGTATGTTCGAACTGGACGCCCGAACGGTGTTCATCCCTACGTCCTCCTCCAAGGATAGCTGGACGTAGTGGAGACGTAACCGCTAGGAGTTGGAAGATATCGGACCTCCATCTTGCCACGTATGTGACACCGCCGGTGTGAGCTCTTCGTAAACCTATCCAAGTATTATTACGACCCTTTCTGGCCCCAAGATCCACCACATGTCGTAGGGCTATCGTCTTCGTGAATGAAGAGTTGAGCTATAAGTGAAGCTCGCGAGACTTCTGCGTGCCTAGACGATGAGAAGAAGCTGAGCTGCTAAGTGCCTACACGCCGTTAAGGCGGTGTTCACCACATGATGTATGACATCCGGACAATAAGATCTAAAAAAAAGCATGTGCTGGTTTCTGTAATCACTCAAGGCAATTACTACACGGGCATGAAGAATTGCTACCCGGGCATGACTCTTACACGGGCATGACCTTTTGCAGCCTCTGATTGGTCCATCCCTTTTTGTTAGTGCATCTAGATTCTGCCAACGCTTCCCTTGTACCTCGGGATTAGCTCTCCACCACGACGATCGACGAGACATATGGAAGCTATTCACTAGCTAGCTACTACACCAATTACCTCTTGTCGCATGTCAAGCCTACTGATAATGATTGTTCGTGAAAGATACCATATTTGTCAAGGTCACAGGGCTCCAGGCGTGGTGTGTTAGGCCCCCTGCTGAGACCAACACTCAAACACACGCTGTATCAGGAATATCCAATAGCCTCATCTTCCAAGGCATCTGCATCACAAAGCAGGTCATTCCTTTGTGCTGAAATTGGTCCCCTCTTTCCTTCTTTCATAGTCAAATCAACTGCCCCTTTAACCATGTTCTCATCCGTGCGTGCGACACTCTTCCTGTCGCGATCAAGGCCGTCATTATGTCCCAGCCCGACTCTCGATCTAGCTCAGCAAGCAACCAACGACTACGAAGCTATCAATTACGTCCTCGAAAACGACAGCGGCAGAACCAATCTGAGAGTTCAAGACCACCTTCGTCTAATAGCACAGGGACGAGCATTGGCCCACACTATGGCGTGGGAGACGACGAGGCACTCTATAATGCTTTCGCCTCGTACCCAGAGACCTTCACGACCGCTCCACGCCCCCATGGATCGCGTGGGCTGAACGAGCCACCATGGGAGCTGCGATTCGATCATGAGATTCACCTATCGAATGATTTCCCAACCCGAGGAAGACGGTCGCAACGAGTAAGAATGCCTATACCAGGCCCGGAAATCGACCAGCCACCAGCCTGCTCTCCACAACAATCAGCACAAGAACAATTCTCTCCAACAAGTCCCCAGTTTCAGTCCGCCCTTAGGCTAGTGCGCGAGGTGATTGGGACAGATCGAAGACTTACCAGCGAGCTCGTCCGGTCATACGAACGAGTCCGCCAATGGCGCGAGATATGGGGCTACTCGCCGCTCAGTTCAACTGCATTCGAATCATCTCCGCCATACTCGCCTCCCCGAGAAAGGCACTCTCCGCCTATCGCCTCGCCGCCCTCGCCCGACCACCCCTTGTCGCCTGTCCCTGAACCGATCCCGAACCCACCTATCCCAGGCGACCCAGCGCCGTCAGCAGAAGTCCTGTTCGAGCGGGTGAATACTTTCGCGAAGGCTAATGGCTTCGGTATTGTTCGACGAAATGCCTACTCATATAAGGGTCGGAAGATCCGGTACTCTTTCCAATGCGATCGATTCGGAGAACCACGCCCCTCAGAGAGTACCGGTATTCGGCAACGGAAGTCTCGAAAGTGTGGTTGTAAATGGATGGTCATTGCCGAAGCACTGGAGGAGGGTAGATGGCTTCTACGACACCACGATAATTCCGAGCATAGCCAGCATAACCACGGGGCCAGTATCAAACCATCCGCCCATCCCCCCACAGACGACTCACTACACCTATCAGGGCAACAGTCGAATCGACAAGCCGTCGGATCGGAATTCGGGCCCGTGACG